TTCTCACAAATGCAATATAAACAGAAGTAAAGGAAAAGTTGATTAATTCCATTTCCTGGATTATTAATCTAAAGAAGCAGATAATTCCATCATGTGCCTCAGTGTCTTTTTAAAGAGAAATTGGTAGTTGTTTTAAAATTTTTTTGAGCCACAAAGGTCCTTTTACTTAACCAGATGGTACAGTCTGGCAATGATGAACAGAATTATATTCTTCCAAGTTAGCACAGGAATGCTAAATGAGTTAAACAAGACAGTGAAGGAATTTCACCAAAGGCAGATTAGAAAATTACATTACCATCTATTACTCCATTTCTAAACACACCTTCTTAGATAATATGAAGTGATTTGATTAAAACTGGTTAATTTAATTGTCACAGAAAGCATTAACACATTACTGACATGGACGACCTGACTGATTGTGGGATTAGTGTCCAGAGATGGATTTCTAAACGTTATATGAGAAGTTAATCAGAATAACCAAACCAGCTTGGGGAAATTCAAGTCAGAAAATGTGAAATTTTAGATTTCATAACTTAAAACTATCCTGTAGACAAAAATAGTTGATATTGGCCATGTTCTTCAGAATATCTGAGAAAGATCTGACACCTTCTATTTGGCATGTTGGGTGTCACCACTGTGAGTCTCAATTAACATAATTCAGTTGAGACACAAGAACCAAATAAACCAAAACAACATATTTGTCTTCTGTTCATAAATACAAGGTGAGAGATTTCAGTTTCATTTAATTAACTTCTCTTTCAATATGATCCAATCATTTACTCTGTAAACTGATAGTCCTAAGTTATGGTACAGGTGGAGCTTGTTTATCATTTACCAATTCGTGTTCACACATCCTATGGAAAACTAGATCAGTGATAAAAATTTCATATTTCACGTTGTAATTCTTAAGTGTGAGGTAGTTTGGTTTTGTTTTTTTTTTTTTTTTTTGGAGGGTGGGTGTTTTTTAAAGCTCAACTCAGCAGTCTGCTTGCAAATAATACCTAAACCTTTTCTCTGCTCTGGAATGGTTTGCAAGTAGAAAACTATTTCTCTGCAGCTGCTCATTATTTCAAATGATCTCATGAACGATTTTACAGGAGTGTATTTCAGTTTGGATTGCTTGAAGACTGTTCACTGCAAATTCTGCAGCTAATATTTCACATTTAAATTCCAAGCCATTACACATTTCTCTTCCCTGCCTGACCAAGAATAATTCTTAGAGCAAAAATTCCTAATTTGCTTTTAGCGAAAATTTCTCTAAAACTCAGAAGAAGTCACTGGGACTGCTATTAGATAATAAAATATTTTGAAGCAAAGAAAAATTAATTAAAAAATGTAGAACCAGTGGCCACAAATAAGCATTTGTAGCATCAAGAGAGATTTAGGAAAACCCAAATAAACGTGGCAACGCTGTGAACACCGCACAGCGAGAAGTATTAAACCTGCCCTCGTGCCAGAGAGGATATCTGACAGCAGAGCAAAGTATGAAATTTGTATTATTGCTCCTGCTCTGTAATAGCTCCCCAGGGCACCTTTGGAAGGCTTTACTTACTGGTGCAAACAGGGAGGCAGCTGACACCGGGATCCAGGGATGTGTCATTGAAGGGCCAGGCTGGCTCAGGGCCCAACAGCACCTCATCAACATCCACAGAGATGGAGATTTGTCCATCTCTTTTTTTTTTTCCTGGTCTCTCTGGGAGGCAGGTACTGCAATCTGAGGTAGTGCCCAGGAAAATTTCAGCTTTCAGGAGCTCTGCTCTTCATTGTCACGGCTCTAATTGTTTTTAGCAGGAAAATATCGAGGATGCAATTAGGAGGGTACAGAATGGGATCGTGTTGACTCACCCAACCCAAATGAAATATTTATTTCCTCAAGCCACTCAGGCCTCATTAGCGCTCTTTATGCAATTCCTGATATAATTTCTGTTTACAGATAAGCCTTAAAGTAGTTAAGATTCACAACCACAAAGAAGTAAAGGGCATTAGCTCTGCTCAGATATAGGTAAATAAAATTAAACCCCTATTCCCAAGTTACACAGTATCAGTGTCACAAACCTGCAGTTCTGTTGCTGCACATTCTTTACTTGGGTACAGTTTATAACTAAACTTTACATCCTTCAAAATGCAATAAATTGATTCAAGTAGAAGTGTTTAAACACATGTATTTTTTATTTTAAAGTCAAGGGTTAACACCCACAATGAGAAAACTGTGGTTAGTGGTGGAAGAATTATGTTTCTAACCCAACTTGGCTAAAGGACTTAACTCCCTTGAACAGAGAATCAATGAGTGTTGAAGACATTTCCTCATCTTTCAGTATTATATAAGAGAGCACACTCCAACAACAAAGGAGTTATCCATTCAGTGCTGACTGAATCAGTTGGGAAGAAGCACTGGCTGAACATAAATCCACATGCTCAGAAAATGGTCTTGTAGAAAGAAATTGGGTAAAACATCCCAAAACCCACATTCACCTGAGAAATCCTACAGTTGGACTCCATGATCTTAAAGGTCTTTTCCAACCTAAAAATTCTATGATTCCATATTGTCTCTTTCCATTTTTAAGTAAAAGAAAGTTTAATAAATCCACATGGACCAGGAAAACTCACTCTCTGTAGTCAAAGAGTAGAGGGAAAGCAAGCAACTCTGATATGCTGACTGACCATGTCGATGATTTTACAAATAAGACATTGTCTAAATCAAGGAAATGTGAAGGAGAAAGGAGGTGGAAAAAATTAGGGAGAAAGAGCAGGAAAACAAAAACCAGTTAGCTTGAAAATGTTTATTTTCAGACATGCATAATTAGGAAAAGAAGAGTCATTGAAATAGAAAAGCAAACCAACATCTTGAAAAAATTCTCTGTAGCACTGGCTAAAATCAGATTTAGGAATGAAGTCAGAGCAAACATTACAAAAGGATGCTCCACACTGTGGCAAATGAGGTCCACTGAGGTTAAATGAATCTTTCCATCAGTGTCAACAAATGTCAGGTTTGGTTCACATTAAAGCACAAACATTGGTGCCATGTTATGTAGAGATCTGTCCCTTCCTTTGCCACTGGCCAGAGATATTGGTAAATATTACCATTATTGAAAAAAATTATTGTGAAATAAATGGAAGGGAGGCACAAGGTGTTGCCTTTCATGCAGGAATGATGCACACAGGGCAGCTCTCACAGGGAGAACTGGAGGGACAACAACTTTGTCAAGTGCTATCCATCACAAAAGTAATTTTTAATTTAAAAGTCTGTAATTTACAATTTTTCATAAATCTCTCCCTAAGCTACATTTCTTCACTTTTCCTTTCTCATGTATTTTAATACCTTTTTGATGCCTGACTAAATGATGGGCTTGTTGCTGCTGCATCCCCATTCACGGGGGAAAATCCAGGACATCTGGTTGGAACAGCAGGACTCTGGCT